TATGGTATTTACCGACAAACGGAGAGCACACTCACAAAGGCCTTTTCTGCCTCATTGGGCGTCATCAGGTGTTTACCAGCATCTTACATTTGAACTAAACTATGGCCTGGTTGATAACGCAGTAATGCATAACGTTGCGATAAGCGAACCAGTGCTATTAGCGCCAGCTTCCACTCATGGTCCATCTCACCTATAGTCAGTGAACGATCCCATCAAACGTCAACCAAAACTCAGGAGATTTTACTTGACTAGGATTACTTAAATGGGCCTGCAACATTTATTGTCTTTCTGCATAATCGTAAGGTATCTCACAGCTGTCAGGATGCGCTTCTTTCCAACTGTCTGCAAAGAATACATTGCGCAAAAGCTGCCCACCTAAGAAGTATGCTTTTTTTTTCTATTGACTTTCGGTGCACCTATTAATTCGATCATATTTTATAGAAAATGTTAGCAAGAATCTATAACTTGATTGTATTTCACGTTTTTCTAACACCTGTTACTCAAATAAAGACTTTATTTGGGTTTTAAATGAGTTTCTAATCGTTAGATTTTTGAGACTCCCTTCAGAACACATTGTATCTGTACATTAATTAATGTTTCACATAAATTATGCAATATAGTCCATCTCCGCAGCAAACGTTTATGAGCACTATAGGGTAGGTTCTTGGTGGCATAGAGCACGTTGTGCTATTTTTATACGGAAAACATAAAACTTGTAGAATGAAAACCTCTAAAGGCAGATGGGGAGAAATATTTGGGAATTGGAAAGCTTTTCAAAACCTAAATTTGCACTTCCTTTCAAGAAGTAAAGTTATTTGTTTCGGAAAGAAAGTATGCTGCTTAAGTTTATTCTAAAATATACTTGAATTAAGAAGGGTGTTACAAGTTAAAAGAAAAAATAGATATATGACTTACGTAACCAGGTTTTATCGAGAGCGATTTTTGTAGGCGGCCGAAAAACCGTGCCAAAGCCGGTATCCTGGCCTCTTTGGAATGTTTTGGCTGCTCCCACAAGTTAATATATGTCAAGGTCTCAGTAAAGTAACTCCTTCCAATCAAAATTGGTTTGAGAGTTATTTTTAACTGCCTGTACTCTCTCTGTCCAAGTGATCCGGCGATGTGCGACTTCATGGAACTCTTCAGTCAACTATTACAGTTCCGATTGCATCAAAACAACACATCACCCTATCTGCAACAGACATGTTATCTACCAATGCATGGGATCAAATCCGCATAGCTGGTTTGTACCCATATAGGAAAGGCCGCGAATTTTTAGAGGCTATGTACTCTAACGAATCATGCATAAATGAGCACGTTGCTATGGATTCAATGTACACCAATCATAAGAAAGCCTGGAAAAAGCGCCAAC